AGTACTATACATATGGCTTTATAAGGACCATCTTATGTCTTTATAAGTACCATATGATGTCATTATAAGTACCATACATATGCCATTATAAGGGCCATACACATGCCATTACAAGTATCATACATGTCTTTATAAGAACCATACGTATGTCTTTACAAGTACCGTACTTATGACTTTATAAGTACCATACATATGCCATTATAGGTACATACATTTGCTATTATAAGTACCACACATATGGCATATAAGTACCATATATTTCCTATTATAAGTACCACAGTATACCATAATAACACATACATATGTATGTCTTACCATACATATGCTGTTATAAGTACCATACTTATGCTTTATAAGTACCATACATTGCCATTATAGTACCATACATTATGCCCATATAAGTACCATTCTATTATAAAAATACTCTCTAAGTACAATGCAGTTATAGTACCATATATGCTGTTATAAGTACCATTACTGTTGTAAGTACCATATATGCCCATTTCATTTACTCCTAAGTAAAGGAATTTATAGAAATTCATTTTCATTACCCATTTTTAATTCAGCTCTTTATTATTATTATTACATGTTTTTCAACAAATTTTTCTTAATAGTATGTTGAGAAAACACGATGAAATTTTTGATATTTGAGACGGCCGTATCTCGGTAAATATGTGTGTAAAGGCCTTCATATTGAAAATTAGCAAAGAAAGCCTTTACAGAAAGAAATATAAATTGCTGTGGTAAACACAATGGTACCATTTTCAAAGCGATTCTATGGCTAGTTTTGATTTTGAGTTTTGAGAAAAATGACGATTTCGCCCGGGCTGCGATTCTTTCCTGGCAAAAGGCTGTGTGGCAGAAAATGTAAGCTGGTCGCTAAAGTGACGTACTGTCCCGTTTTCTGATTTGGGTCCTGTGGTAGGTTAGGCGATTACACCTTAAATTGACCTTTTCTTGACGTTAGGAACCTTAGGAGGACGGGCTGAGTTAAGTACTATACATATGACCATATAAGTACCATTCTCATGCCCATATAAGTACCATTCTCATGCCCATATAAGTACCATACACGTAACAATATATGTACCATACACATGACCATAAAATGGCCATATAAGTATTATACATAGGCTCGTGTAAGTACCATTGATATGCCCATATAAGTATCATACATATGCCCTTCTAAGTACCATAGATATGTCGTTGTAAGTATCATATATGTGTCTTTGTAAATACCATACATATGCCTTTATAAGTACCATACATATGCCAATATAAGTATCATACATGTCTTTATAAGTTCAGTACTTTTCATGGCTTTATGAGTACTATACATATGGCTTTATAAGGACCATCTTATGTCTTTATAAGTACCATATGATGTCATTATAAGTACCATACATATGCCATTATAAGGGCCATACACATGCCATTACAAGTATCATACATGTCTTTATAAGAACCATACGTATGTCTTTACAAGTACCGTACTTATGACTTTATAAGTACCATACATATGCCATTATAGGTACCATACATTTGCTATTATAAGTACCACACATATGGCATTATAAGTACCATATATTTCCTATTATAAGTACCACACGTATACCATAATAAGCACGATACATATGCCATATAAGTACCATACATATGCAGTTATAAGTACCATACATATGCTGTTATAAGTACCATACATATGCTGTTGTAAGTACCATACATATGCCCATATAAGTACCATTCAAAATACTCTCTAAGTAAAGGAATATTATAGAAATTACTTAATTTTCATTACCCATTTTTAATTCAGCTCTTTATTATTATTATTACATGTTTTTCAACAAATTTTTCTTAATAGTATGTTGAGAAAACACGATGAAATTTTTGATATTTGAGACGGCCGTATCTCGGTAAATATGTGTGTAAAGGCCTTCATATTGAAAATTAGCAAAGAAAGCCTTTACAGAAAGAAATATAAATTGCTGTGGTAAACACAATGGTACCATTTTCAAAGCGATTCTATGGCTAGTTTTGATTTTGAGTTTTGAGAAAAATGACGATTTCGCCCGGGCTGCGATTCTTTCCTGGCAAAAGGCTGTGTGGCAGAAAATGTAAGCTGGTCGCTAAAGTGACGTACTGTCCCGTTTTCTGATTTGGGTCCTGTGGTAGGTTAGGCGATTACACCTTAAATTGACCTTTTCTTGACGTTAGGAACCTTAGGAGGACGGGCTGAGTTAAGTACTATACATATGACCATATAAGTACCATTCTCATGCCCATATAAGTACCATTCTCATGCCCATATAAGTACCATACACGTAACAATATATGTACCATACACATGACCATAAAATGGCCATATAAGTATTATACATAGGCTCGTGTAAGTACCATTGATATGCCCATATAAGTATCATACATATGCCCTTCTAAGTACCATAGATATGTCGTTGTAAGTATCATATATGTGTCTTTGTAAATACCATACATATGCCTTTATAAGTACCATACATATGCCAATATAAGTATCATACATGTCTTTATAAGTTCAGTACTTTTCATGGCTTTATGAGTACTATACATATGGCTTTATAAGGACCATCTTATGTCTTTATAAGTACCATATGATGTCATTATAAGTACCATACATATGCCATTATAAGGGCCATACACATGCCATTACAAGTATCATACATGTCTTTATAAGAACCATACGTATGTCTTTACAAGTACCGTACTTATGACTTTATAAGTACCATACATATGCCATTATAGGTACCATACATTTGCTATTATAAGTACCACACATATGGCATTATAAGTACCATATATTTCCTATTATAAGTACCACACGTATACCATAATAAGCACGATACATATGCCATATAAGTACCATACATATGCAGTTATAAGTACCATACATATGCTGTTATAAGTACCATACATATGCTGTTGTAAGTACCATACATATGCCCATATAAGTACCATTCAAAATACTCTCTAAGTAAAGGAATATTATAGAAATTACTTAATTTTCATTACCCATTTTTAATTCAGCTCTTTATTATTATTATTACATGTTTTTCAACAAATTTTTCTTAATAGTATGTTGAGAAAACACGATGAAATTTTTGATATTTGAGACGGCCGTATCTCGGTAAATATGTGTGTAAAGGCCTTCATATTGAAAATTAGCAAAGAAAGCCTTTACAGAAAGAAATATAAATTGCTGTGGTAAACACAATGGTACCATTTTCAAAGCGATTCTATGGCTAGTTTTGATTTTGAGTTTTGAGAAAAATGACGATTTCGCCCGGGCTGCGATTCTTTCCTGGCAAAAGGCTGTGTGGCAGAAAATGTAAGCTGGTCGCTAAAGTGACGTACTGTCCCGTTTTCTGATTTGGGTCCTGTGGTAGGTTAGGCGATTACACCTTAAATTGACCTTTTCTTGACGTTAGGAACCTTAGGAGGACGGGCTGAGTTAAGTACTATACATATGACCATATAAGTACCATTCTCATGCCCATATAAGTACCATTCTCATGCCCATATAAGTACCATACACGTAACAATATATGTACCATACACATGACCATAAAATGGCCATATAAGTATTATACATAGGCTCGTGTAAGTACCATTGATATGCCCATATAAGTATCATACATATGCCCTTCTAAGTACCATAGATATGTCGTTGTAAGTATCATATATGTGTCTTTGTAAATACCATACATATGCCTTTATAAGTACCATACATATGCCAATATAAGTATCATACATGTCTTTATAAGTTCAGTACTTTTCATGGCTTTATGAGTACTATACATATGGCTTTATAAGGACCATCTTATGTCTTTATAAGTACCATATGATGTCATTATAAGTACCATACATATGCCATTATAAGGGCCATACACATGCCATTACAAGTATCATACATGTCTTTATAAGAACCATACGTATGTCTTTACAAGTACCGTACTTATGACTTTATAAGTACCATACATATGCCATTATAGGTACCATACATTTGCTATTATAAGTACCACACATATGGCATTATAAGTACCATATATTTCCTATTATAAGTACCACACGTATACCATAATAAGCACGATACATATGCCATATAAGTACCATACATATGCAGTTATAAGTACCATACATATGCTGTTATAAGTACCATACATATGCTGTTGTAAGTACCATACATATGCCCATATAAGTACCATTCAAAATACTCTCTAAGTAAAGGAATATTATAGAAATTACTTAATTTTCATTACCCATTTTTAATTCAGCTCTTTATTATTATTATTACATGTTTTTCAACAAATTTTTCTTAATAGTATGTTGAGAAAACACGATGAAATTTTTTATATTTGAGATGGCCGTATCTCGGTAAATATGCGTGTAAAGGCCTTCATATTGAAAATTAGCAAAGAAAGCCTTTACAGAAAGAAATGTAAATTGCTGTGGTAAACACAATGGTACCATTTTCAAAGCGATTCTATGGCTAAGTCAACTGAAAGCAAATAATTAACATCATCCAGTGTTGTGTCAGGAAGTTTGTGTTGCTGTGTTTGTTTGTTTGTTATTGTATATATTATATATATTGTAGTTGTCGAGCGGCCATTATCAGCTCTTGACTGACAGACGATTACAACTTCACTGCCGATTATATTGCAAATGTTGTACCTGTTGTACCTGTTGTTCTGTGGCAACATTTGCAATAGAATGTTGAATTTAGTTTGTGAATTAGATTTTGAAATTAACAACTTCAAACATTCAAGCTGGGGATCATTATTGGTTCATTAGAGACACGTTCGTATTTGTGGAAGTGAAGGAGCGGCTGTTGGTCATTGTTAACTGACACTTCAGACTCGCAAAATGTTAACCAATGGGGGTGAGGTTTAGGGTGAACGTCAGCCAATCAGTGGCTGGGTTGGGTTGGCTGCTGGATATATAAGTGACGATGAGGCAAAATGCACTTCAGTGTTGTTTTGCCTCACTTTTGGTATACAGTTCAGCTTCGTCTCTTGAAGGTGAGCTGTATGGTGAGGATCCTCCCCACCTGCCCCCTTTGTTGCGTCCCCCCCTCTCCCCCCCCTGCCCTTTGTTGCTTCCCCCCTCTCCCCCTGCCCTTTGTTGCGTCCCCCCTCTCCCCCTGCCCTTTGTTGCGTCCCCCCCCCTCTCCCCCTGCCCTTTGTTGCGTCCCCCCTCTCCCCCTGCCCTTTGTTGCGTCCCCCCCTGCCCCTTGTTGCGTCCCCCCCTCTCCATTTCCCCTTCCCCGTACTGGAAGTAGTGAAGTTCATGCGGGGTAAACTTGTTATTTCAGATTCTCCTGGACTCGTGGTTGGGTTAAGTGGCCATAATGCTCCGTGTGGCACTACAGCAGACCCAGACTGGCCTGTGACGCTCCTCCACCGTACTTGTATCATGCGAGGCTAACCCTTAACGTCTGGCCTTCAACTTTAAAAATTCAGTTAAGTATGTCTCAAATTTCTGCAAGTTTACAATGGGAGTTAGTACGTTTTAAAACGTCAAAATTTAACATTCAAAACTAAATTCGAAAGTTGTTTTTAATGACTACTTAATTAACAGGCTAGAGACCCATTTCTAGTAATGGGTTACTAGATATCTTGTATCCATGACCCAGAATGCAAATTCTTAATGTCTATGGTGTTAGTCTTGGCTTTTTGTTACTGTCAACGCTAATTATAATTTCCTGTCTTGTATATTAATCGTAAAATTGCCTTAGAGCAGCATTTCACTAGATTTTTATCAAGATTTCAATTAGTCATGTAAATAGTTCCCCAATATAAAAAGTTAACGGAATAATTAGTCCTGACCATTGCATATACCGATAGTTAACTATCGGTTCGTAGTGGTTCACTTGTCAGCGCCCCGGCGGTCTACACTAGTCACAACCTTGACAAACGCACCTTGAGTGAAGTTCAGACGCTAGTCTCGGGACACTTCCCCACAGTGGATTGCTATAACATTTAAGTTGTAGTTTGATAATGTACAGTATATTCTTGCTCGTAAACTATTCCATTTAAAAGTACAGTGCTAACTTATTGTCAAACAGTTAAGCTTTTACTTTAAACTAAAAGTAAACGTTGTTCTTAGCAGTCACTATTGCTACAAAGGTGTAGCATTAATGCTGCTTTCAAGAGTTTTTGCTTGGCGACACCCCCCACCTCCTCAAAGAGGTAAGAAAAGTTTACCTCTGATTTTGAAACTGTCTACAAACATCTAGATTATCTAAAACCCTAGCCTAGAGGCCTAAGAAATAGTTTGAGTATCTTAGATAAGCATAACTAAACTTTGAAACACGCATCCTGCTAAACTTTCACATGTAATTATTAGAAAAGATGGTAAAATTCAATCTTTACCTTGCCTTATTAACCATATTCTTGCACCAGGGTTATGTCTAAATGCTGTTTTTAGTCCTAAATTGGTATTTCTTTTCTGATTCCAGAATGAATCAGCCTACACTACTGGTGTGGGTGTCGGGCCGACGGCTCCATGGTGGTATTAGTCTCCTGAGCAAAAAGTTGCCAAAAAACTGTCTCCTTTCGCCGAAGCACTTCTTCAAAGAAAGCGTCTCTACAGTTCTCCAAAGTTATAAATTAACTGAAGGTGATCATACTGAATACTTCATACCCAAGACTTCTACAAATTAGGCATTCAGGCAACATCACCTTGACAAGGTAACTGAGGAAAGGATAGAACGACAAATCTGAGAATCTGTACGCTGGTACAACATGGTCACTCTCAATTATGGACAAAGGTGGTGGTCGCCGGAGAGAATCGGTAATAGCGGGAATCCGTCTTTGATACAAAAGTCTATAGATACCGAATGGAATCAGTTGAGCAGCGAAGTTGCAGAATCGGTAAAGTGATAATGTTAACGTGAGACTTTAGATATGTGTAGCAAACTGTTGAGCTAAAACGGTCAAATACTGTTCTTTATTACCCGTTTTTGCACTAACATGATAAAAATGTTATTGTTGACAAAGGTTAATGTCTGAGAATCTTCCCCACTTGAGTTAGGCAAGTCCCAGCTGTGTCTGGGTAAAAGTGACAAGATGAACCCAGCGGGTTTTTCTTCCTATTAAGATTGTTGTACATGCTGCTATGGCGGTGTGTCCACTCAATGGTCGAGTGGCGCTGCCCAATACTGTCACTATGGCGGTGTCCACTCAATGGTCGAGTGGCGCTGCCCAATAAACTCGCCCCTCGGGGCAAAACCAAAAACTTGTTAATCATTTTTCTTTTTTACTGTATATTAGTGGCCACTAACTTTTCAATATTCCAGCATTGTTAATGAACTCTCAAGCTTTAAGTACATCTGCCTCTCCAGTCCATAATTGTCTGTTCCTATTCTTTATATATTGCAGTAGTGGCCAACCCCCCCGCTTACAAAATGACTAGTTGTGCACCCTATGTGGGGCCGTAGTGAAGGTTGCTAGTGTTTAACGAAGGCTGAATGAACTGCATTTACGTAATTATGGGGGGAAAGAAGGCAACCCGTTCTCGCACTTCAGTATAGTCAATATTGACTTATTAAATACGTGCATATGTGAGGTACTAATTTATTGTGAATATCTTAGTTTACCTTTAAGAACTTCAGAGAAAACAGACCTTGCCTAACTTTCTTAATATGTTAAGATAAACATCTTAATTAGGTTAAGTAATTGTAATTACGAAGCAATAAGATGCTTAACATATTAAAGTTAGGTAAGGTCGGTGTTTTCTATAAAGCTTTTCAAAGTAAACTAAAATCACTAAATTAGTACGTCAAATATGCACGTATTTAATAAGTCAAAATTGACTAAGATATTGCGAGAACGGGTTAGTGCAACATTAAAAATGTCCGATTGAAAATAGTTAACATTAACTTCCTCTAGTCTTAAAGTCCAGCCAACTACAGACAGAGACGTCAACAAGGAAAGTCTCCATACTGAACATTTAAAACCACTGAATAAAACTATGTACTGCCCGTCACCACTTGGTCTTCTGATCTAAGCGCTCTTTCTGATGCCTCGCGCCGATTCTTGATTCCAACTATGAATTTAAGTATTAAATTGCTTTCAGCCTCCCGACAAACGGGGAAAAAAACGTTAGCGCAAAGTGCTCTCCGCGTTCCGGGCGATCGAGCGGAAACACTAAGTTTACTCTTTTTCACTGTCCTGATCTTAATTTTCGATGTATACATTTCACTTTTGTACCAGTGTGTTCGCAATAGAATGTAATAGAACATGTGTAAAATGTCGCCAAACTGATTTAAACCACTACCAGTAAAGAAATCACGTGGATCACTAGCCGTGAGCTCCAAACAGCGACCAGATGTTTCCATTCTTTTCAGGGTTTTCAACTCCACACTTGTCCTACAGCGCTAAACGTGGTATCTTTGAGATCGTAATAAAATTCCCTACACGGACATACGCATATAAATGAAGAATCATGATAGTGGCCTACCCGCAAGTGTGTAGGAAGTGGGCGAAATGTTACCTGTTACTGCACATCGGCGATCTACAATAGTTTACCCACAAAGGTACAAGACAAAACAGTTCTCCTAAATAGGCTGCGGCTATTAAAGAAAACGTAAATTTTATGGCAAACATGTTCATACTATCCAAGTCGGATTAAAAAGTCCATAGAGCTGGCAAGCAGGGGATGGAAGAACGGGGCGAGGTTGCAGAAATCTTGAGCAAGGATCTGGAGATGAGGTGAAGAGGGGAGATGAAAGATCGGTGGCCCAACCACCGCGGATTAGAACTTGAGTAGATGGAAGTAGAATTGAGTAGGGCGTCATTTGCAGTCCACGCAGAGGCCAGGAACGCAAGCAGCTGGCAGTTGATGGTAATTGAAGGTTGATTACTTCATTGGTTTACTTCTTTCTTGATGGTGGGAGCAAGGTCTGATCTTTGGTCTTTGTTTTCGGCTTGTCTTTCTTGGCGGTCCGACTTCGTGTTGACATTGCTGTGGGATCAATAGCGTCATAAAGAAAATCGGCAGATGAATAGTTGTATTTCTGTGAAGGTGGAGATGTCGTTCCCACAGAGACATCCTCATCTGATGAGTCAGTTGAGTACATACCAGATGTGGGTCTTGGAAGTAGTGTTCCTGATGGTTTAGTAGCAGCGGTAGGACTTACTGCAGATGTAGAAGGTTCAGTGGATGTATGTACTATGGGTGGAGATGTAACAGGAGATGGTGGATGAGAAGTCGTCGGCTTCTGGGTTGCTACCATGCCAGGAGCAGATGTTGCAGCTGCAGTAGGCACAGTATCGTTCACAGCAATGTCCGAGGCTGGACCAGGAGCTGGAGCATCATCCGACAATGGGTTTGAAGGGTCGGGGACTAGCACAGTGGTCCCTGAAGGTTTGGTATGAAGAGGTGTTGGTTGACTCTGCTGGGTTGAAAGTTCATTGCCCGTTCGTTCTTGAATTTTTCTTTATCATAGCGGCGTGTTTCGGATATTTCACGTAGTATTGAGGGTCAATAATGGCAGGGTGGAGCATGGTAACATCAGTGCAGTAACGAACTGTGTCAGCCTCATCCAAGTCGATCGGATAAGAATTTGTTCGTCGGACATACTGTCTACTTGGGCAACTTCGAGTGACTTCCGGCAGACACGATCTTGTGTCCGCGGGGGAGGAAAGTGCCGGGCACAATGTTCTCGCTGCCCGATCTTAGCAGGCTGTTAAGATGCTATCGTGAACCCACAATCCAGATGATCGGGTATAGTTTGGAGGTTCATAGACCTTAGGATAGTTCCAAACTAGAGTAACTTCCCTCTTATCTTGCATCTAGTAATGCCACTGAAGCTTGACATTATGGGTGGTAAGCAGTCTTGGTCTAACTCTTGGCAAGACTTGACAGTACGAAGTCTACAGTAGGGCTGTCCTGAGGGAGTAGTGTTAACCTAGCTATATATACCTACAAAAAGGGGCCTATAAAACTACCCATTAGCTCCACAAGTAGGCAAACTGCAGCGGAGGTTGCAGAGAAGCCAGAGACTGACCTGCAGAAACTTACTTCCCTGTTAGACCGTAATTACATTGAAGTGGCCTAGGTAAATATTTGCTTATGGAGAGATGGGAGGTGCGCGAGTTTCACAGGACCTATTGTGGGTACCCAGATCACCCTCAGGATTGTGTATTATCTTAGATGTGCTTGCAGAGGTTGAACTTCGGCTTTCTGGTCCCGCCTATTGGTCAATATTATCTACATTTCAAACTGTAACGAGTCTGCTGCCTCCATCACTGCCTAAGGCATTCCATCTTGACACTGAAAATCTTCAATGTGCCTCGGCCAGCCACATGGGCTGGACCGCAGAGACTGTCTCGCTTCATGTAGGTTTGCATTCAATCCGACAGTTAAAGTTTTTAGTCACCATTCCATCTTCCCCGTCCCATTCCAAATCTTCCTCCTGTCCCATTTAAAGCGCTATAGTCTTAATGGCTTTGCACTTTTCCATAATATCCCTCATTTGGACACCACTTGTCTCCTTGTTCGTGTTCCACCCATGTTAAATAGTTTTGTTCACTTACAGAATCACCTTTAAAATTCACTCATGTTTGCCATGGTCTAAGAGTCTAAGTTCCTGTAGCCTTTCCTCTTTAGTCCCAGAACAGAAGTCTATCTCGTCTGTTCCTTGTGATTGCCTTGGGCCGGTTGTCTAGTCTGTAAACTATGTTTGCAGACAATCTTTGTGTGATCTTCATGCAGCGAACAGCTGTAGTATGTTATCCGTACAGACACTCAAAGTCTCATTGGGATTATGTCTGCTTGTGAAGCTAAATATTCTTTAAGTAAATGTTAGTCTTCCGGGGCCGAGATAAAATACTATGAGTGACGCTTTTGATATCGCTCGATTTGTCCCCCCTATATTGGCATCTTTCATTTTGGATATCCAAAAAGAGTAGTGTTATCTTACCGGCTTGATGCATGTGATAGTTCAGTCCTAATCCATCCACCAGAAGGGGCAAGTAAATTCATGTATCCAAGTCAGGATTACCTACAAGGTCGTCACCTCGCCGCTAGTCTACTGTCCCCGTCGAGGCAACTTTAAAGTTCCTCTAATCCCGATTAGTATAAAATAACGTGCAGACATCACCGTCAGGTAGGCGGTTCCATGCAGTTTCTCCCTTTTATGCATTACATTGGACTTGCCAGGCCACTTGTGGCCGATTCTCGCATCTTTGCTATTTTTAATTAAAGTTCGAACTTTCAACCAAGTAAAGAATATCCATTACTGATGTAAATATTTTAGTTTACATAATTAAAACGGAAAAGGAACAAGCTCCACCCCGGAACATGTATGCATCACCATCTTTTGTTCCAAAAGGTTGCTAAGCTATTTAACAAAAGTACATTTCTGAATTTTCCAATGAAATTGTTTCACGTATTCCTAGAATTTCATTTAAAACTTTACCCGCTTCCCTTTCCATTATCTTCCTATAATTAGGAATTTAATTAAACCTGTTTAATCTATAAATATGCACGTGTAGAAAGAAAGTAATGGTTTAGAGATTTATTTTCATACTTTAAAGCAATACAGAATGCAGTTCAGTGATGAGAAATATAGGCAAATAAGATAAGTCTTATAGTTGCATTGTTAGTTGCCCAATTAAAACAAGTTTGAATATAAAAAACCTAAAATGTCTTTTTAGAACACTGGAGATTCTAGCCAGGGTTCAAGTTTCTTCCAGGTAATAGTTAACTGCCAAACAAGTAAGTCATCCATCGTAAGTACGTAGTGAGATCACTGGGAGCGAGGCCCAAAATATTGCCATAGTCAGGTTTTACAAGTAATTATCAAAACAATGCGAACCTGGAAAGCTATGTAACCAGGTTTATAAGTATTCCACCTACACTAGTCTTTAAAAAGGGGGGGGGGGAAATTGTTATACAAGTGGTCGTTGAAATCCGCCCCCCCCCCTTGCATCGTTTCAATGTCATTGAAGTCACTAGCAATTAATATAGTTTCCGTAACAAGAGTCGAGGATTTAATTTTACCTTAAAACACACACTTCCCCTATTGACTCTTCAGGTCCCTAGTGACAAGTTCTGTCGAGTCGACACTGAACATTAACAGACCTCCTGGTTAAGGTATTCAATAACATTAAGTTTTAATATTTTACAACTTCACCATTCAGGAAACCTGGCCATTTTCTGGCAAAACAATGTATCAAAGGCTGGGTGACAGATGGTACTTTACGTGGTGACAGGCAATGTCGTGCCACTTTGTCGTCGTTTAGATGTTCCTCAGTACCCCGAGACTGTCCTCGTGGCCTGGCTGTGGTCGCCCGAGCCTGGGGACGGAAGAGGGCACAGTTATCACAATTATATTCCTTACAACTAGATTTAAATTGTCAAGTTAAACTTTTACAGACTTACAGCTGTTTAAGCCCTTATGAGTAACCTGCACTTAAATCTATCAAACATCCCGTATGGAATGACAATGAACTGTATGACAAATGAAGTCAAACCAGCCATACTGACCCTGCAGTGGGAGACCAGTTTGTGTAGAACAGCACCAGGACGACCACCTCCAGGTCGTGGTGTCGTGGTCGTTTGTCCACATGAACTGGATCCAACCTAACTGTGGTTTAAGAAAAATTAACACTTTGTAAACCATAATAGTCTAGTAGGATTTCCACGTTTAATGCAGATGTATTTCAATAATTTTTAACTTTAATATTAATAAAACTCACTTCTGGCGGTAACTTTATGAAGTCCTTATCCTTATCTCTAATACCAACTAGCTGGAAGCCTCTACCAAGACGAGCAGCAAGAGTTGGCTTTATCCCAGCTGTAGGAATTAATATTCACGCACCATGAGAAATGGTAGTTCTTACCAGCACTAGTTTACATGTATATCATTTACAAAATACATCTAAACTTAGTAAGACGGAACAAAAAGCCATATTTAGGATTCAAACCTGCATCTTATCTACTCAAAAATTTGGCAAGCCTAGTCCAGGTTTTTTCCAAGAAAAAAAAAAAAAAAAAAACTTACACAAGGTGCATTAACTATGCCTTTTTAGTAACCGACTTAAGAACACTTAAGTAAAAGCTTATCAACCGTCTACATTTAACCAAGTCGATACAGTGCAACACTCAGCATTCTGAGCACTTAACCCAACATTCGATTAGTCAAGGCAAATCTAAAGTGGTAATTCCCCTTCCACCCCCCCCCATACCCCAGACACTTCAATAGTTTTAGTACGGGGAACCAGGGAAAGGGAGGGAGACGCAGGGGGGGGGGGGGGGGGGGGCGGCACGAGGGTCGGACGCAACAAGTCGCGGGGACGCAACAAAGGGCAGGGGGGAGAGGGGGGACGCAACAAAGGGCAGGGGGGAGAGGGGGGACGCAACAAAGGGCAGGGGGGAGAGGGGGGACGCAACAAAGGGGCAGGGGGGAGAGGGGGGACGCAACAAAGGGCAGGGGGGAGAGGGGGGACGCAACAAAGGGCAGGGGGGGACGCAACAAAGGGGGCAGGGGAGAGAGGGGGGGACGCAACAAGGGGCAGGGGTGAGGCAACAAAGGGGGCAGGGAGGAGAGGGGGGACGCAACAAAGGGCAGGGGGGGACGCAACAAAGGGGGCAGGGGAGAGAGGGGGTGACGCAACAAAGGGGGCAGGGGAGAGAGGGGGTGACGCAACAAAGGGCAGGGGGGGGAGCAACAAAGGGGGCAGGTGGGGCGGATCCTCACCATACAGCTCACCTTCAAGAGACGAAGCTGAACTGTATACCAAAAGTGAGGTAAAACAACACTGAAGTGCTTTTTGTCTCATCGTCACTTATATACCCAGCAGCCAACCCAACCCGGCCACTGATTGGCTGACATTCACCCTAAAACTCACCCCCATTGGTTAACATTTTACGAGTCTGAAGTGTCAATTAACAATGACCAACAGCCACTCCTGCACTTCCACAAATACGAACGTGTCTCTAATGAACCAATAATGATCCCCAGCTTGAATGTTTGAAGTTGTTAATTTCAAAATCTAATTCACAAACTAAATTCAACATTCTATTGCAAATGTTACAACAGAACAACAGGTACAACATTTGCAATATAATCGGCAGTGAAGTTGTAATCGTCTGTCAGTCAAGAGCTGATAATGGCCGCTCGACAACTACAATATATATAATATATACAATAACAAACTAACAAACACAGCAACACAAACTTCCTGACACAACACTGGATGATGTTAATTATTTGCTTTCAGTTGACTTAAGATATTGCTCGTTAATGACAAATTAAGTGATTTTAACTTATTGAAGTGTGAACATTTATGCTTTATAATTTATTTATTTATTTATATAGAAGAAGGTACATTGGCTTTATGTGAGTACATAGCATTGATGTTTTTACATTCTTGTAAAGCCACTAACACGCATAGCGTTTCGGTGAGGTTCGAACAGATAATTTTAAGTAATTAATTTCTTGCAAAATTGATTTTTTTACAGGTACAGTGTAAGAAAATTAGACAAAAATTAGTAGGTACATTAAAGTAAAATTTAAGGATTATCAGAAGGTACATTGTAGTATAATTTGAGGATTATTTCAATGTATAATGCAGTAAAATATGCGTTCAATATATCAATCATGATATATGGTGATAGGAATGATTACAATGATAAAGTTATATGGCTTAGGTACATATATTGGGGGATTGGGTAGCAGTGCGAGTTTCAAGCCCTAGGTAAGGAAACTATGAACATTAAATCAAGTACTTTTTGGTTTTATTTCTGAATAAGGCAAAGTTGGACAGCTTTTCAATTCGTTAGGGAGTGAGTTCCATAGACCAGGTTCCTTTATTTGCATAGAGTGTTTACACAGATTAAGTTTGACTCTGGGAATATCAAAGAGATATTTATTTCTGGTGTGGTGATTATGGGTCCTATTACATCTGTCCAGGAAGAGTTTCAGAACAGGATTTGTATTTAAGAACAGGATTTTGTAAATATAAATGGCACAAGGGAATGTGTGAGAACACACACACACACACACACACGGACACGGAAACACACACGGACACGGACATACCTCATCAATGCCAGTACTAAGCACATGACCCGTCCAGAGAGCCGTCTGTCGGGTCCGTGACGACATCAAACAACCCAATTCACTCCCCTGCCCGGCCTCCTAATTGAGAAATGGGAGGGGAATGGAAGGAAATAGGTGACTTTATGAAGGTATCACGATTAAATGGGAATAATAGCGGGGACGTTCAAACAAACCGACGGCTTTCAGTCCCCCGTCGAGGCCAGCAAGCCTTCAGTTAAATTCAGGTAAATGGGTGAGCTATTGGCAAATGGATAAACTATTGGTGTAATGGGCAGCGGTATAATAAAGCTGAATATACAAACTAATAGTTGGGTTCCCGAGAGAAAATAGGCCTAAAGGACAGTGCGTCTGGTAGGCCTACTGAGGCTCCACTAGCCTCGGCCAACTACTAGTGACCTCCCCCTATGAAGCCACCCACAACAGTTCTATAACTCCAGGGGTAATTATCCAACCCGTCCTCTCAAATACTTCATCGCATTTTGACGTATAAGTCCCCTAAGACCCGAGTACTCGATGGACTAAATATCATAGTGACTCCCTAAAAATTGACGATGTCCCGTTTTCTGTCTTTGGGACCTCGGCTAGGTTAGGTTAGGGCAATTTGTAACGTTTGGAACGCTCATTAATGACTCAGTAATGGCTCATTAATAGCTCAATAATGACTCAAACAAGATTGAGTTAGCAGGGTCCAGTACTCAGTGAAAGTAGCAGGATTTAATAGGCAAAAACAACGGAAAGAGATAGCCGAGTGTGAAATAATGGGAACTTTGTGGTGGGAGATGGGCAGGAAATGGGGTGGGAGTTCTGAGGTGGTCTTCATTATCATGTTTACTGGGAGACCAGACGGCCCTGACCACAGTCGAACCTCAACCTTATTTCCAAAGTTAGAGAGAGAGAGAGAGAGAGAGAGAGAGAGAGAGAGAGAGAGAGAGAGAGAGAGAGAGAGAGAGAGAGAGAGAGAGAGAGAGAGAGAGAGAGAGAGAGAGAGAGAGGGCATTGCCTGGCCCCCTTGTTGAAAGACGTCAACTTTAATGATCAGCTGCACCTCATGCATGAAGTTCAAACTTATGCTGACTACTGTACACTAACCAGTACAAATGCAGGAGAAGAGGAGATGCCAGCTGCTGTAGTGTTTATCAACTACTTCTTGCAACAACTCTACCTCAGGAAGGCAGTGGCAGGTTTCATTTGCAGCGCGGAAACACAGGCGATGGTGATAATTAGCCAGAATATTACACCCTTTATAACTCGACTGATGAGAGCCAGAAACTAAGTATTCAGTGATGTGGTCGACATGTTAAGGATGAAGTTTGGGTGTTTATTTACCACGAAGAGTAAGGTGTCTAAACCAGCATACAAAGTAGCTAAGACACTTGCAGAACTAATGTGAATTTCATATCTTCTCGACATCAGTGGTTGCTAAACTTTTGTTTTTGTTTTAAAAATTTGCAAGATACTCGCCTAGAGTATGAAGATTCTCGCCTAGAGTATGAAGACTCTCGCCTAGAGTATGAAGATACTCGCCTAGAGTATCAAGATACTCGCCTAGAGTATCAAGATACTCGCCTAGAGTATGAAGATACTCGCCTAGAGTATCAAGATCCTCGCCTAGAGTATCAAGATACTCGCCTAGAGTATCAAGATACTCGCCTAGAGTATCAAGATTCTCGCCTAGAGTAGCAAGATACTCGCCTAGAGTATCAAGATACTCGCCTAGAGTATCAAGATACTCGCCTAGAGTATCAAGATACTCGCCTAGAGTATCAAGATACTCGCCTAGAGTATCAAGATACTCGCCTAGAGTATCAAGATTCTCGCCTAGAGTAGCAAGATACTCGCCTAGAGTATCAAGATACTCGCCTAAATCTTGACCCATTCTTGCAGGACCGCTCACTATACCAGAGCCCAGAACATCATCAAGATATAAGCAGGTGTTACGTATATGACCAATGATTTCAACTTTGTGCACAACCAGAAGTTGGAAATGACAACACAAGGCGCTCAGCCACCAACAGCCTCCATAGAACACCACTCCATCGCCGATCATTCATTCCTAGGCTGACCTACACGTGAAAAGTTTGCTCAAAAAGAAGGTACGTGGGACCTGAAGCTACCCGAAAATTGGCTTAACTGTATCCTCACCCTGTACCTTAATTAAATTAGCATTAAGGTCCTGCCCTAAACGCTATACGTGCTAGTGGCTGTACAAGAATGTAAGAACTATTGTATATAAAAATACAAATAAAAATAAATATATAAGCGACATAATTTTTTTGCTTTAACATTGATTTCTGCTCGAAGATTTTATCTGTATTTACTAAACATCTGTTTTTTTTATTTAAAGATTTGCGAGTGCAGTCGTATCAAATATGGAAAGAAACAATCTGGAATTAAAATACATGAACGATCTATTTTAACACTTGGATATAATTATTAGTTTAACAATTAATTTCATTAGACTAAATTTCAAAACATTTTTTATGCAATATTATTATTATTTAGCTTATTAGATTTTGTGTAGTATATGTTTTAAATATTGAGATCGTCTTCTATCAAAGAATTGAATAGAAAACGGATCGAGTTTAAGAAGACGGATTCTGGGGATACTGAAGGATTTACCGCTCCTTCCCTACCATCTGTCGCATCCCGAGCCTCTCGCCTGTCTGCATTCTGCCAAAATGATTCCTCAGGAATGTTGGATTGGAGGAGGGGATGAAATATGATGCGACTTGAAAAGAATATTGAAAGGATGGGACTGGGCCCTGATAAAGGGGTTAGTCGTGTGGATGGAGATGTACTCACCTGGTTGTACTCGCCTAGTTGAGCTCTGGCTCTTTTATCCGCCTCTCAACTGTCAATTAACTGGTCGCGCAGGAATATCCTTGGAAAAAAATACTGGTGTACAGATCCCTGAGCCTATTGGGCTTTATCATATTTACATTTGACCTCGCCAATCTGCGACCTCGACCCTCACAGTAACTCGTTGTCTTCTGTTGCTTAGGTACTCCCTTATCCAGTGGAGTACCACTGGAACTTATCTCTGGAACTTCTCCTTGCTCTAATGTGAAGAACTCCTGGAATTTCTTACTGAGTTCCTCGCGCAGTTCCTTGTCGTTTGTAGTGAATCTGTCTGCTTCTATCCTCAGTTTCATTACATGTTCCTTGACTGTTGTTTTTCACCCTGATGTGGCTGTGCAGCAATTTAGGTTGAGTCTGTGCTTCACTTGCAAGGCAAAGACTCAATCTAAATACCAGGGTTGTATTCTTGTAAGTAGTAAGTAGAATTTTTGTAAGTCAGGGTTGCATAAATACACACACACACACACACACACACACACACACACACACACACACACACACACACACACACACACACACACACACCCATGAGTTTACGTCATGGGTGTGCAATGGTTTACAATGGCAAACAAGTTTGCCATTGCATAAGAGGATCACAGCGTCACCAGCGGCTATACAGTATACAGCTTTGGAAATTGTCCTTCACTTTAACCCGACCCTAAATAATTTTTAGACTGATGGATCCAACCTTTCATTCCTTTCCCCCTCCCACCCCAATCATCCCTCCCTTCTCTCCCGCCCAATCATCCCTTCCCCCCCCAATTATTCCTCATCCCGCCCATTCCCGTGTTATCTGGACAATTACACGGGCTTTCTGATATCTTGCACAGACTCCAGAAGATAATATTATAATTTGACATAATATTTTGTTCAGTTTAAAGCAAAAGTATTGCAATAACATTGTTCATTTAAAACATAACGAGAGTAAATTTACAAAATATATATCCATATGTACTCGGTAAACATTGTGAATAACTTTGTTCTTTAATCAACACCTTAAACACAGAGACACACTTATGTCGTTGAATTCAGTCTTTCTTATGTTTGGACCCCCGGCATGTTCTGTATGTGGAACCAGTTCTCCTCCTCACTGTATTTAGAAACACTCTCCCCCCCTGCAATTTTCAGGAGTAATTTACGAAACGTGTCTCACCCCTTCGTTTCAAAGTAGGACAATCTGAACGCTTCGTCCTCCAAATCACTGACTGGTACCTAGAGGAAAATATCCTGCGCAGCTCTTCGCAATAACACCAGCATTGCTAATATGTTGACTTAAGTTGCAAAACATCTTATAGATGTGACGAGGTAAACACCACCAAGATGAAGCCCTAGGAAAACCAGGCTTTTGGAGGCGTCTCGGAAAAAGTTAATTAGACGACAAAGCTTAGTTTGAGAGTTTGCATGTCGCACCCCAAGATTCGGGGTAATTAGGAGACGGAGTTGATGTTGGTGAGCTGGACTCCTTTGACCGAGACGTTGGTTAGGCCACAAGTCGGGTGCCTGGTTTATCAACACTACCAAAGTGACGGGATCTCACCGTCCCTGAGCACTGGACGAACATGGTGTAACTATGTATCCCACCAGTTATTTGGCCTAACCAAATGGGTCCTGGACGTGGTCACATGCTGACCCGGTAGAGTGACACTGTCTAACCAACCACGCATCCTGTACGTGAATAGCCTAATCAACCACAGGCCGCACAGACGTGCATAGTCTAACCAAAACTGAGCATAACACATATTAGTAATTAAATCCTCGAATTTGCAGGAAATGAATAAAAGCAACAACAATGTAGGTTCCCTGAGACACTGACGAGGAGCAGGGAACAGTAATAAGGGCGAGGAGAGAGGAGCAGGGAACACCGGCACGAGTCAGCAGAGGGAGATAGGAAGCAGTGGAGGCCCACAATGGACACAGGGAGCTCCCCACACACGCGCACCCTCTCTCATCACATGATTGGACGCCGCTGGTCTTTGATTATGTCTGATTACACCTGGTTCTGGCGGGGTTGGACAATAGGGGTGGGAAGGGTAAACACAGAGAATAGGGAGCTGAAATGGATAGGGGCAGAATAGGGTAATAACTTTTTGTGTGTATTAGGAAATGTTTATCTCTCTGAATGTTTGGCAATATGTTTATTGTTTGTGATGTGTGTATATGTATGTATTAACACGATGTACTGAACGGGGTGAGAATAGCTTGAGCTACCTCATCCTTTTGTGTGTATTTTACCTCAATAAACTTATTTCAATTTCAATTTCAATTTCAAATCTGTGTACGTGTGCATTTCCTGACAAATATTATTTGTACTATAGTTCTTATTAATATGTCGAGTTTTAAAGATGCTATTAAGATTATTAAATATTAATACTAATGACTGTGCTAAATGTCAACAATTAAATATGTATAGTTCAACCGTTATTAAAAACTTTCCGTAATATAATGGAAATATTATTACATAGAATGTTCTCTCAAAACTCTGGTAGTGACACGAATATTGTGTTTTAATTAACCTGAAATATATTCCCCCGTTTTAAATTAATTGTATTTGTATTATATATATATATATATATATATATATATATATATATATATATATATATATATATATATATATATATATATATATATATATATATATATATATATATATATATATATATATGTCGTACCTAGTAGCCAGAACACACTTTTTGGCCTAATATGCAAGGCCCGATTTGCCTAATAAGCCAAGTTTTCCTGAATTAATATATTTTCTCTAATTTTTTTCTTATGAAATGATAAAGCTACCCATTTCATTATGTATGAGGTCAATTTTTTTTTATTGGAGTTAAAATTAACGTAGATATATGACCGAACCTAACCAACCCTACCTAACCTAACCTAACCTATCTTTATAGGTTAGGTTAGGTTAGGTAGCCGAAAAAGTTAGGTTAGGTTAGGTTAGGTAGGTTAGGTAGTCGAAAAACCATTAATTCATGAAAACTTGGCTTATTAGGCAAATCGGGCCTTGCATAGTAGGCACAGAAGTGCGTTCTGGCTACTAGGTACGACATATATATATATATATATATATATATATATATATATTATATATATATGTCGTACCTAGTAGCCAGAACGCACTTCTCAGCCTACTATGCAAGGCCCAATTTGCCTAATAAGCCAAGTTTTCATAAATTAATTGTTTTTCGACTACCTAACTTACCTAACCTAACCTAACCTAACTTTTTCGGCAACCTAACCTAACCTAACCTATAAAGATAGGTTAGGTTAGGTTAGGTAGGGTTGGTTAGGTTCGGTCATATATCTACGTTAATTTTAACTCCAATAAAAAAAAAATTGACGTCATACATAATGAAATGGGTAGCTTTATCATTTCATAAGAAAAAAATTAGAGAAAATATATTAATTCAGGAAAACTTGGCTTATTAGGCAAATCGGGCCTTGCATATTAGGCCAAAAAGTGTGTTCTGGCTACTAGGTACGACATATATATATATATATATATATATATATATATATATATATATATATATATATATATATATATATATATATATATATATATATATATATGTGTGACTTGAATGTGATTTGAACAAGGAAGCTGTACTTAATGGTCCCCCATTAAACTGGTCCCCCTTAGCGGAGCGGTAACCACACCCAGCCCACACGCACAAGTCCGCACCCTCGTCCCCTTCAGTCTCAACTTCATCTTATATACAACAGTCAGGGGACAAGTGGGAGCCTCGCCATCCATCGATGTAGTAGCAGTAATCCTTGAGGATTAGCAAGGCAGCGTCATCACTCACAAAGTCGTGAATTCCTGCACCTTGACCCAGACCCGACCCAGTCGTCGACCTAGTCGTCGACACAGCCGTCGACCCAGTCGTCGACCCAGTCGTCGACCCAGTCGTCGACACAGCCGTCGACACAGTCGTCGACACAGTCGTCGACACAGTCGTCGACACAGTCGTCGACCCAGTCATTGGTTAGCGACGAAGGTGTGAATTTCCAAAGTGTACAGCAAACTAATAAGCCCAAACGTTGCTACTATTGTAGCAACGTTGTACTGCTGTTCTGTTCTGCTCTGTACTGCTCTCTTGATACATTACCTCAAGACGACAGAGAGTTACCTCAAGACGACAGAGAGTTACCTCAAGACGGTAGAGATTTCGAGACCTTAAATTATAACCTGTCGTATAGATTTGCCTAAAAATAGGGAAGGCATTTGAGAAGGAATACAAAGATTCCTTTATACCTCACCTCAGTGTTTAAGGCAAGAGTTTACAGGAAGATGTTAGTTTACCGTATAAAGGGCAATAGGTGTCACTTGCCGCAACGATACTCGATCTCTGTAGACGAGGCTCTTCCTGAAATGCTGATCAAATTAACTGTTGTTGCTGCTCCCGGGTCGCATTCTGAAAGAGAAAACAAAGCAATAGTCTCCAGCAGTTACTTGTATTCCATTCCCTAAAATATAATTCTGGATTACTGGATGAGGGGAGGGGGTGGGGACACAGAGACAGAGACCGAGAGACAGAGTGAAAGACAGAGAGAGCTCAGCATTGAGTCTCGAGCGAACTGTTAGGAAAGTTGACTACACCACACACTAGAAGGTGAAGGGATGACGACGTTTCGGTCCGTCCTGGACCATTCTCAAGTCGATTACGAATGGTCCAGGACGGACCGAAACGTCGTCGTCCCTTCACCTTCTAGTGTACGGTCTGGTCAACACACTTTAGCCACGTTATTGTGACTCATCGCCTGCATCTGTTGGGAAACTTGAAGCGATTCCATCACGATTAAACACAACCTGGTCTTCCAGTCAAGACGATCACAATGTGTAGCGGCTCTGTACCTATTGCTTCCGTTCCTCTATTTTTATGGGAGGAATTCTGTAAAAAAATAAAAAATTTAAATAAAATGATGTATTTAGAGGACGAAGAGGAACTTTCTTTTTATAGCTGGCTCTCAACACCTAATCACCATGTGTGCAGATATGACCAGGTGTATGCAAATGTGACCAGGTGTTTGGAAGGGGGCCAAGATGTGTGCAGTGTGTGTGTATGTGTGTGTGTGTGTGTGTGTGTGTGTGTGTGTGTGTGTGTGAGGGGTAGGTGCACGCAACCAGGTCGCATATCACGCACTCTCCTTCCCTGCTGTCTGACTATCGACCACACACTAATCACTCAGAGTTGTGGGGTAACCACTCACCTTTCCTGCTGTGAGGACCGACACGCTATCCCTCCTGTGAGGGAACCACACATTGCCTCTCCTGTGAGGTTGCCTCATATCATTTGGGTTGCTTATAGGAAGCTGCAAGATGACATGACATAAGTCGAGGAATGGTCCAGCAAGCTGCTGCTATTATTCAGTCTTAATGAATGCACTGTAATTAGATTGGAAAGCATACATCTCTACAAAAGAATGATGTTTAACATAAGACTTATTCTTTCTGTGAAGGGAATTAATTACCAGGGAAGATTAAAAGACTTGAACCTCGTATCACAGAACCTCTTATCACCGGAGGAGCTAAGAGTCAGATGATAGGCTCTCTGATGAAAACAGATTGAGGAGACATAATTGAAAGATGAATATCTAGACGAGTCAAAAAGACATTTACTATAAACCTCGCCGACACGTCGTCCACTCCCACAAGGCCAACTGGGCCAGTCAGCCAGTGTTTTTGATCGAAAGCCATCTTCTCCTGCTGGCAACAGCCTCGAAACTTACAAATCTTAACGTAACGTTTGGGCATTCTTATTGTCTCTATGATTTATAATTATCTAATGAACGTGTGAGCGACCATGTCAATGTTTTTTCACTGAGTTTGTCACTGTGCTCTGCACAGTGAACACTGAAGTACAGGACAGTACGCCTGACGTGTATTCCATGCAAGGTTGTGGCAAAGATCGCGAGAAAGACATTAGTAGGACACCTGGGGAGAAAGGAACTCTGTTACACACACTACCAGCACGGATTCAGAGATAATAAAATCTTGCCTCAGAGTAGACGATGAGTTACAACGTGGCTGAAGTATGTTGACCAGACCACACACTAGAAGGTGAAGGGACGACGACATTTCGGTCCGTCCTGGACCATTCTCAAGTCGATTGCGAATGGTCCAGGACGGACCGAAACGTCGTCGTCCCTTCACCTTCTAGTGTGTGGTCTGGTCAACTTGCCTCACAGGTTTAAAAGAATATTTACAGGCGACAAAAATGAGATGAAGAGAGTGGAAAAACGTCGTCGTTTGTCCGTTTTCTGATTTCAGGTTTGGACATTTTGTGAAGAACTTCATGTTGCTTTAGGACAGTGAGGAACCTAAACACAGAGGTCCTCATAATGCTGTACACAGTCTGTGAGGGAACAGTTTTGGAATACACAGCATTCACCTGTATTTTTATGCTTCTTAAAGCACAGAGAAAACTCAGATGATCTCTGATGATAATTCATCCCGATATTGATTCCCACTATCACTGGGACGAAGCCTGTTCGACTCTCAAAACTAAAGGCCTACCGCAGGATGCCAGCCACAACAGCTGCCTACCTCGCAAGTACCTATTTACTGCTAGGTGAACAGAAGCTTAAGATAATCAGAAATGAGGCCAAACTTCTCAGTCCTGTACCAGAATCGAACCAGGACCCTTTCGGGCCACTGGTTACGACTATTCCAAAGAATCAGAAACTGTTAGTGGCTAAGGACGAAACAACGGCTTGTAACATGATCAATACATAAATGCAATTGATAAAATGCTTCTTGATGCAAATATAATCCATAATTTCAGAGCAGAAATTATACAATTCTAGTAAATAATAAGTTCAGTTGTTTCTGATGCTCGATTGTCAAAAGGCGGGTCCAAGAGCTATTGCTCCCTACTAGTAAGCACTAATATATAAGCTCAGCAGCACTTCCATCTCGTAGTTGATTAAACTTGCATGTTCCTTGACCGTATCCCTGGTCTCGATCAGGTCAAAAGGTCAGGGGTCAGGTCAAGCTGTCACGGCCCAACTTGGCGTAATATGAAACACGGGATAAGTTGGTTCGTGACCAACAAAAACCACATCTTTTCATGCGAAAGAAAACGAAGTTGTTCGTAGAATTGTTTAAGAGAGAAATTTGAAGTTTTGTTTTTGGAGAGAAGAGTGTTCGCTCTCTAAGTGATGGAGAGGCGGGGAGAGGGGGAGAGAGAGGGAGAGAGAGAGAGAGAGAGAGAGAGAGAGAGAGAGAGAGAGAGAGAGAGAGAGAGAGAGAGAGAGAGAGAGATAGAGGAGCAGCCAGCCATGGTATAAAGCAGGTGCCCCTCAAGTCCCTTGGATTACCATCATTATATCCTATCCCTCCTCACTCCCTCCCTCCCAGCACCCTCCCCACTCACTCCCACTCCACCTCCTCCCCATCCCTCCCATTTCCCTTCTCCTCCATCACTACTCTCCATCACCAACAGCTGCCTCGTCTGCAACCGCCTGAATCAGCGGCGATTCTCATACTTTGTGGTGGGGGCGGCTGTTGGTTTGTGGTGGGGGCGGCTGTTGGTTTGTGGTGGGGGCGGCTGTTGGTTTGTGGTGGGGGCGGCTGTTGGTTTGTGGTGGGGGGCGGCTGTTGGTTTGTGGTGGGGGCGGCTGTTGGTTTGTGGTGGGGGCGGCTGTTGGTTTGTGGTGGGGGCGGCTGTTGGTTTGTGGTGGGGGGCGGCTGTTGGTTTGTGGTGGGGAGGCTGTTGGTTTGTGGTAGGGGGCGGCTGTTGGTTTGTGGTGGGGGGGGCGGCTGTTGGTTTGTGGTGGGGGGCGGCTGTTGGTTTGTGGTGGGGGAGGCTGTTGGTTTATGGTGGGGGCGGCTGTTGGTTTGTGGTGGGGGAGGCTGTTGGTTTGTGGTGGGGGAGGCTGTTGGTTTGTGGTGGGGGGCGGCTGTTGGTTTGTGGTGGGGGGCGGCTGTTGGTTTGTGGTGGGGGGCGGCTGTTGGTTTGTGGTGGGGGGCGGCTGTTGGTTTGTGGTGGGGGGCGGCTGTTGGTTTGTGGTGGGGGCGGCTGTTGGTTTGTGGTGGGGGGCGGCTGTTGGTTTGTGGTGGGGGGCGGCTGTTGGTTTGTGGTGGGGGCGGCTGTTGGTTTGTGGTGGGGGCGGCTGTTGGTTTGTGGTGGGGGGCGGCTGTTGGTTTGTGGTGGGGGGCGGCTGTTGGTTTGTGGTGGGGGGCGGCTGTTGGTTTGTGGTGGGGGGCGGCTGTTGGTTTGTGGTGGGGGGCGGCTGTTGGTTTGTGGTGGGGAGGCTGTTGGTTTGTGGTGGGGCGGCTGTTGGTTTGTGGTGGGGGGCGGCTGTTGGTTTGTGGTGGGGAGGCTGTTGGTTTGTGGTGGGGAGGCTGTTGGTTTGTGGTGGGGCGGCTGTTGGTTTGTGGTGGGGGAGGCTGTTGGTTTGTGGTGGGGGCGGCTGTTGGTTTGTGGTGGGGGAGGCTGTTGGTTTGTGGTGGGGAGGCTGTTGGTTTGTGGTGGGGGCGGCTGTTGGTTTGTGGTGGGGGAGGCTGTTGGTTTATGGTGGGGGCGGCTGTTGGTTTGTGGTGGGGGGCGGCTGTTGGTTTGTGGTGGGGGCGGCTGTTGGTTTATGGTGGGGGCGGCTGTTGGTTTGTGGTGGGGGGCGGCTGTTGGTTTGTGGTGGGGAGGCTGTTGGTTTGTGGTAGGGGGCGGCTGTTGGTTTGTGGTGGGGGGGGCGGCTGTTGGTTTGTGGTGGGGGGCGGCTGTTGGTTTGTGGTGGGGGAGGCTGTTGGTTTATGGTGGGGGCGGCTGTTGGTTTGTGGTGGGGGAGGCTGTTGGTTTGTGGTGGGGGAGGCTGTTGGTTTGTGGTGGGGGGCGGCTGTTGGTTTGTGGTGGGGGGCGGCTGTTGGTTTGTGGTGGGGGGCGGCTGTTGGTTTGTGGTGGGGGGCGGCTGTTGGTTTGTGGTGGGGGGCGGCTGTTGGTTTGTGGTGGGGGCGGCTGTTGGTTTGTGGTGGGGGGCGGCTGTTGGTTTGTGGTGGGGGGCGGCTGTTGGTTTGTGGTGGGGGCGGCTGTTGGTTTGTGGTGGGGGCGGCTGTTGGTTTGTGGTGGGGGGCGGCTGTTGGTTTGTGGTGGGGGGCGGCTGTTGGTTTGTGGTGGGGGGCGGCTGTTGGTTTGTGGTGGGGGGCGGCTGTTGGTTTGTGGTGGGGGGCGGCTGTTGGTTTGTGGTGGGGGGCGGCTGTTGGTTTGTGGTGGGGAGGCTGTTGGTTTGTGGTGGGGCGGCTGTTGGTTTGTGGTGGGGGGCGGCTGTTGGTTTGTGGTGGGGAGGCTGTTGGTTTGTGGTGGGGAGGCTGTTGGTTTGTGGTGGGGCGGCTGTTGGTTTGTGGTGGGGGAGGCTGTTGGTTTGTGGTGGGGGCGGCTGTTGGTTTGTGGTGGGGGCGGCTGTTGGTTTGTGGTGGACA